TATCCTGATTATAGTTTTTCCTCCCCCAACTTTTCCCCACCCACCCAGATTCATACCCTTTCTTTCTCTTATTAGAAAACAAGCAGGCATCTAAAATAATAATAATAATAATAGTAATTAAAAACAAAAGAAAGAAAGAAATGGGGGCAGGGGTGAGACAAAAAAAAACACATACAAATTCAGATACACACACAGAGAAATCCTATAAAAACACAAAATTGGAAACCATGGTATATAAGCAAAAGAGGTTTATTTTAAGTGCCCAGACAAAGAATTAGGAGAAAACAGAAACAAAAACAAAATACCACTGAGTTTGTTTTATGTTAACCATCTGTTGTTGCGCATGGGACCTGCCCTTAAGAGTTGTTTGTATAACCAGTGTGGCTCTATAGGAGAAAACTAACTTTCCTTTGAGAGAAGTTCCTAACTGGAGATAGTTTCTGGATCAGAGTGGGGGCTTGTTAACGGAATCTTTAATGCTCCCCAGCTGACTGTAATAGATAGTAGCATCAGACTGAAGAGCCTAGTTAGTCAATGGCCTGGGCTTGAATACCTTCTACTAGTTTAGTGTACAATGACACAACTCACCTCAATTCAATTACCAGTTTCTTTCTTTTTTGTTTGTTTTTGTTTTTAGCCTGTACTTGGAAACACCGTGAACAACGTGATGAATATTTAGCACAATTACCCATTTACAGTTCTTAATGTTGCTGCAAATTATGTAAGTTTTAAGTTTGTGTTGTCGTTCTTTGTTTTAATGACGGTAGAAACCATCAGTCTCTATCAGCTTCGAGGGACAAGTGTCTCTAAAGATGCTGCCACTCATGACCGGGCTCCTATATTAGTTACTTTTCTCCCACCTTGGCAAACGCCTGACAGAAATGACTTGAAGAAGAGTGTTATTTGGTTCATGGATTCAGTCGGTCATGGCAGGCAAAGAAAGCATGGCAGAATTCATGGTGGCAAAAGCTTGAGTAGATCAGGAACTAAAAGAGAATAGGACTGGAAGACAGTCTGTTTGAAACCCTCAAGGCTTGCCCAGTGGCTATGGCCACCACCTAGATTCCGCATCCCAAAGGTTTCATAACTTCCCAAAACAAAACTCAGATGGGAGCCAAGGATTCGAGTGCACTAGCCCATAGAAGATTTCACAGCAAACCATAACAGCTCCAAAGCAAGGAGTGAAAACTCCCATTTTAGTCCTGCCACAAAGAGGACAATTACCCTAAGGTTTTAATCTCTTCATCGAGATAGAGAGTCCGCAGTTCCTCCACCTAGGACCCAATCCTGAAATTGCCAGAGGAACAAGAAAGTTCTTGGCTGAGATACACAAAGCTGATGTTACTAGAGACCAGTATAAGAGGTACCAGTACAGTAAGCAATGATAGTGTTCACACTGGGTATCCTATGTGTTTATATGCACACACACACACACACACACACACACACACACACACACATACGGGGGGGGGAGGCTCAGAGAGAGGCACAGAAAGAGAAACATACAGAGAAACATATAGATACAGAGAAATATAGAAAGTGAGAAATAAAGAGAGAGACACGGAATCAGAGAGACAGAGAAGGAGGAAGGAAAGGAGGAAGGGAAGGAGGGAAGGAGGGAGAGGAGGGAAAAATATCCACACACTCACACACATTTTAGTTGGTCTCAGTGTTTTTCCCCTTTAAGATTATTGAAACATTTTGTCTTACAGAGAAGAGACAGGATGGAAATATTTTTAATGGCTTATTCTTGGCTTGTGAACTGTCCGTGGAGAACTGGAACAAGTGAGGCTCCCTACTCATGTGCCTGAAAACATCGTCATTACACTTACACTCTGCCTCTGAACTCACTGGCTCACCCTTGAACATTAGCAGCAATATGTCACTGGGGCCAGAAAAAGACGGAAGAGCCAGTACGCTTTCTGATTGGGCAGGACAGCCATGACTCAATATTTTTTATTGAAAGGCAGAATGAATCATGTAACACTTCTAGGATCCTGGGATGTAGGCAGCTTGTCCAGCTGTCTAAGGGTGGGATCCGAGAACCTTCCAACACAGATGTACTGCCAAGTCTCCTGACATCTACCCAGTGAGATGAGCCTGCTGGACTGACAGCTAGCTTACTTTCATTGGTTTTTTTTTTTTTTTTTTTTTTTTTTTTTTACGGACTCACACAGAGAGGGGAACCAAATTCATCAAAATAACTAACAGAAGATGAACCAGAAGGATACTCAAGGGCACTCCTGTGCCTTATGGAGGAATTAGATCCATTCATCCGGGACAGAAAGTGGTCCAGGCTGCCTAGAGTCACTAGGGGAGTTACAAAAACAGGGAGGTAACTGAATCTGGGTTAGCCTACTTCATTAAGAGTTTGGTTACAAAGGCTCCTCCAGATTCAGCAGGTAGGAAAGCAGTTCTCAGGCCTCACTAAAGGATCAACTTCCACATCAGTGTCTGGGGTGTTGGCATTAGTTTAAGCGCCATGTGTTATGGGTTGATTAAGGGAGCAGAGGGCTGGTCTCACGCCAGGAGTCTACCTTCCCACCAGCCCCACAGTGGATGAATAAATTCTGGTCTCTAATGGCAGGACTAAAAACAAACTGAGCTGCCCCCCATAGGCTCATTAATTTGAATACTTAGTCCCCAGTTGGTGGAACTCTCTGGGAAGGCTTAGAAGGCGCTGAAGGCAGGAGATGAGGCTTCAAAAACCATTCCCAGTTAGTTCTCTCTGCCCTGCGCTTGTGAATCAAGCTGCAAACTCTCAGCTTCTGGTCTCGCACCATTGCCTGTCTGCCTGCTGCCGTGATCCCCACCACGATGGCCACGGACTCGAACCCTCTGCAACTGTGAGCCCCAAATTATATGTTTCCTTTTTTATATGGTGTCAATACTCACAACTCTAAATGTATATTGATTGGCAATTTATTAACTTTAAAATCTTGAGCAAGGGCTGTAATGAAACATGGTTTTGTTTGCTTTTTCTATCCATGTGCTCTGTTATGTAGGGGTTGTCAGTTCCAAGTGAACATCTTTCCACGTGCTCTCCACTGAAGGGCAGTGTCGCCCACTTCAAGATGGCTGACTACTTTGAGGGAAATTTGTGTTTAGGCAGTGAAATCAGCCCCCGAAATGTGCGAGTCAGCCCCTACATCTCCTCAGGACCGTTACTCGGAGGTGGGGTTTGGAGGATTTATTCTCATTTGGATCTGAACCCTACTACATCCAGCGCTGACTGGCGCTGCATGAGAGTTACCGAGAGGAGGACCCCCACCTCTCAATCTTCAATCACTCCCTGGCAGGAGGAGGCCGAGCTTCCTGCGAGGTACTCTCAGCTCTCAGCATCTCCCACACTGAAGTCGTCTTCCATTCAGGCCCCTCCCCTGTGGCTCTCTAAAAGGAAAGTACCTCTAAGGAAGCCACTGAGCTGAACGGAAAGGACGTGATACAGAACTGCTACAGTAGACAGTTTCTAACGCTAGTGTTACAGAGGGGATCTTTCATCTCATCGTCTTTCTTCCTTTCCTTCTCTATCATGAGGCTAAGCTGACTAAAACGGTACCAGTGAAATAAAAATGGCAATTTTTAGATGACCAACACTCATAAACTTTGGACAAGTCTAAAATGTTTCAAACTTTCTTTTTAATGAGTTGTTTCCCATTTGTCAGCAAGTTTTATTTGACGACCTGAGTTATATCAGTTTTATAATTGGACGTTTTGTTACTTCTATGGATCGTTTCTTCTCCAGCCTGGGAGGAACAAATGATTGGAAGTCTCACCCCAGTCCCTGGCATCCATCCTAAGGCCCCTGCCCCTGGGGGTTGCCTTGGTACGGACTTCACCTCCGGGAAGCCTGCCAAACGCTGAACCCTCCCCAGGAAGGGTCAGGACTGTTCCCATAGCCTATTTAGGCCTCTGCCTAGGAAAAGAACACGTGTCTCGGGTTTTGCGTGGTGCCCCCCCCCCCCCCCCCCCCCCCCCCGCCAGGCTCCCCCCCCCCTTCTCCTTGCCATGCTCTCCTGGCCACGTGGGAGCGCTGCATTTAGTAAACGTGGGCATCTTTTATTTGGTCTGTGATAAGAATAACTCCGCAGCCGGGCGGTGGTGGCGCACGCCTTTAATCCCAGCACTCGGGAGGCAGAGGCAGGCGGATCTCTGTGAGTTCGAGGCCAGCCTGGTCTACAGAGGGAGTTCCAGGACAGTCTCTGTTGTTCCCTTGCAACACTACAACTCCCAACATCCCTCTGGACGGCAAGCGCGGGACACATTTCCCAGAAGCCTTTGCATCCTGTTAAAAGCAAGGACAAGCCACAAGTTCGGCCCTTTTTTTATTATCCCTTCCCCTTGTCCCTTCCTTTCACTTTTCCTAGTGTGTTTTCCCCTCCCATTAAAAAGTGTACCACGTGGTACCGCCGCGTGTCTGTGTCTTTTCCCTGCGTAATCGTCTTTACCCCCATAGGACAAACAGAAATTAAGAACAACAGTCTCCAAAGCTACAGAGAAACCCTGTCTCGAAAAACCAAAAAAAAAAAAAAAAAAGAGCAACTCCGCAGGAATCCAATTAGGTCAAAATGCCCATCGTTTGTTAAGTAAGACGCTCTCGGGGTTCCTCCAGGAGGCCACTTAAATACCCTGTGAGAGTGGTCCTGACCCCCTCCCAGGGAGGGGGCATTTGGAGTCCAGAGTAATGCAACTCCCAGGCCAGGGGCTGGGGGCTACGCTCCCAATTTAACAGTCTGATTGGAATTATTTGCATCGGCAGAGAGGCTCTTTTTAAGATTATACCTAACAGTAAATATGGAGTCCAGGAAAGCTGACCCAGTCTGGGGTTTAAAGCAGAAAGGGAGCTGAGGAATATACTCTGCTTTGTCAGGCCATGAGCTTACACAAGTCACAAAAGCAAATAACACATGCCTTGCTTTCTTATAGGCACACACTACAGAAACAGATAAATATTCTCACACACACACACACATTCTTGCAAAAATAATGATGTCACTTACCTGTTCCTGAAATACACGCTTTACCAGAGGGTGATTTAGGACAAACTTCGTTCGCTGATTTGTCAAAGCTCTCATTTCATCCAAACTTAAATCATACCTGCACAGAACAGATAGCATGTGGGCATTAGGACATTGACTCTGTAAGTTGCCAGAACCAAATCCAGAGCTCTGAGAGAACAGACACTTTGGCCCTGCACCCAAGGTCAGCTGGAAGGAGAAAGGGGAGGGTTTCCTGATAAGACCGAATTAAAATGAGGCTGCCACCACTCCCTCTCCTCTGCAGAGCTTTAAAGATAGTCTGGGAAGACCCAAGGGCAGGATCTGTGGAGGCGGGGCAGAGTAGAACCTGTTGGTTGGTATAAGGAGAGGACTGTGATAATGTGGGGAGAATTATTCAGAGTCAAACTGTGAATCCCTGACTCCACTGCTCTGATTTTGATTGAATGAAGTTAGAGTCACTGGGAAGTTACTCTCCTGTTTGGCTGTCCAGGCAGATGATTGAGCTTGACCTAGTAGCATCAAAACTACCCTTGCCTGGTAAGAAATTTCTGCCCTTCTCCTATCCCACCTGCATTCTGTCCTAACTGTGACAAAGTCCTGGGCTGTGCTGTGTCAGGGACTATTCAAGAAACACTCTTCCTGCCTGTCTCCTACCACAGGGTCCATCCTGCCTTCCGATATTTTGGCAGCATCTTTCACCAATCCCTCAATACTTTTGCCCTTCACAGGTATTTTCCTCCATCAAATCTCTGGCATGTCTAGCTCCATCTTGGCGTCTATTTCTCAACAAGCCTAAGCCCAGGAGGAGAGGTTCCTCTGTGTCATCTAATAGTTCCGTGCAAAACATAGCAGAAGCCTAGAAGAGCCTCATCCACGGTTGATGTTAGCCTCTATCTCGGATGGTATCATGGCAATACCAAGATGACTCAGACACTGATACATTATAGTCATGATCTTAAAACAACAAACAGGAAGCCAGGCGATGGTGGCGCACGCCTTTAATCCCAGCACTCGGGAGGCACAGGCAGGCAGATCTCTGTGAGTTCGAGACCAGCCTGGTCTACAGAGCTAGTTCCAGGACAGGCTCCAAAGCCACAGAGAAACCCTGTCTCGAAAAACCAAAAAAAAAAAAAAAAAAAAAAAAAACCTCACCAAAGAAATATAAGTTGTTTAGGGAGGCATTACATAGAAATTATACAACTGAAAAATATGGTAGCCAAAATTAATTAAAACACCTCTCTGATGAAAATAGCTCCTATGGGAGTGACAGAGAGCAAGTCTGTGAACTCATGAGAACGTGCTCAGTCTGAAGATTTGTGTCCTCTCCCTTCTCTTTCTTTCCCTCTGAGACAGGGTTTCTGTGTTTAGACCTGGCTCTGTACTGGCTATCTACTGGCTCTGTAGACCAGACCGCTGGCCTGGAACTCACAGATCAACCTGCTTCTGTCTCCAGTGCTGGGACTAAAGGGTGCACCACCACCACCCAGCTGGTCCTCTCCCTTTTCAGTTTTTCATCACCCAAGTGATGCATTTGGAGGTGGGGGTCTTTGGGAGATGAGCCTATCACATGAGAAGAACTTTCGTTCATGGACTGTGATGTAGCACAATTCAAAGTCTAAAAACCAAAAGCAAAAATTAGGAAGACAACTTGAGAGAACCAATGCAAAGGGAAAGACTCACAGGGTAGTAACAAATTTCTCCTCAGAAGCCACAGAGGCCTGGGGCGGGGAGGGGGAGGGGGAGGCTCCAGGTTGTTTGTCTGTTTGTTTTTCTTAGCTCAGGAACAAAAGAATGACCAGAGCAGGTCTTACATCCATTGAAACTGCCTTTCATGAATAAAGGAAACAATGAAGACATTCTCACAAAGGCATCCTTCATGTGACATAAGAGAGGCGTGGCTTGGTGACACAGTGCTTGCCTGCTGCCTTACAGGGCCCCAGATCCCAACTCCAGCACAGGGGGCTGGGGTGGGGAGACAGCGAGAGGCAGAGAAAGGAGACAGAGATAGAGAGACAGAAAGGATATGACAGGTAAAGGTATTTTCTCAACATAGAAGAAATTATTTACTAACACACACACAAGGCTGGGACCAACAGAAAGAGAATGTCTGAATGGGTGGAAACAGAAATAAGTATGATAGACAGCAGAAAAAGTTTTCTTTTGTTTGTTTGTTTGGGTTTGGTTTTTTTATGGACCTTCCTAATGCAGTGTAGGTTCGTTGCAAAATTGAACAGGAGGTACAGAGATTTCCCATATATTTTCAGCCCATGCAAATGCATAGCCTCTTGTATTATTATTATTCACCTCCCAGAGTGGGATGTTAGTTATAACCAATTAACCTGCACTAAAGCCTCAAGTCCGCAGCTTACAGAAGGTTCACACTTTTTTATTTGTTTATTTCGTTTGGGAAGTTTTGTTTGGTTGGTTTGATTGTCTTTGGTTTGAATCAGAATCTCATTCTTTAGCCTGGGCTAGCATAGAATTCATAATATAGACTAGGCTGACCTATAAAAATCATGGTAATTCTCCTGCATCACTCCCCCAAGTGCTGGATTACAAGCTCATCAAGATTACATCAAGATCAGGATTATTTATTTTTTTAAAAAAGGTGTGTGTGTGTGTCTTATGTGTGGCATGTGTGTAAGTGTCCAGGGATGAGAGGGTATCAGATCTCTTCCAAGGAGTTATAGGTAACTGTGAGCCGTGAGGTGTGGGTGCTGAGATCTGAACATGGGTTGTCTTGAAGAGCAACAAGTGCTCTTAACCACTAAGCTCCTTGGAGTTTATTCTTGATGGAGTATAGTCTATGAATTGAGACAAGTTTACAGTGCATGCATCCAGCATCTGATAAAGCACTTCACCCTAAACACTCTCTGGGCCCCTCCAGTTCAGATGGCCTCTTCTCACCTGAATTTGATCTTTGACCTTAGTAGAATGAGCTACGCTGGTAACAGGAACGGAAGGCAACAGAACCATCCGCAGAAGGGGTGGCAGCAGCTGGAAAGGGAACAGCCATCAGTAGCCGCAGTGACAAAGGGCAGCTAGGGTAGAAATGATGAGGACAGTGGAAACAAAAAAGACAAGATAAGGCAAAGAGCCTCATGTGACAATCAAGAGACTTTGTGACAAGTCAGAGAAGAAAACCTGTGGGTCCTGGTTGCTGGACGAGGTCTCAGGACCTTCTAAGCTGTAAGGACCAAGGTCTCAGACACCCCAACCTGAAATCCCTAATATCAGTTGCCCAAGAGCTATAATGCTTGTTCTCTAAAGCTGGGGGTGCCAGTCTCCCAGGCCTATGATGTATTTACCATTTCCACTCACAGAGGCTGGAAGCTGAGTTACGGGGGCTGCAGAAGCCTAGTGCCAGGCCTCTGGAGATGCAAGTCCTCATGTAACATATCTCCAGCTTGAATCCCTCCAGCAATCAGTTCTCACTTTGGAAACCAAACCTGTCATCATTCATGAGGAGGTCAGAAAACAACCTTCAGGTACCATTCTCTCCTTGTACCACATGGGTTCTGGGGCTCCAACCCAAGTTCATCGGGTTTAGCAGTAAATGTGAGCTCTCATTGGCCCATAACACGCATTTCTAAGCATATACTTAAAACAACCACTAGATGGAACTTGTTCGTCACTTGAACTGTCACCAGGACCAGCTTAAAGTTATCAAAGAAATCAAAATGGGATGGAAAACCATTAGGAACACCTGGAAAGATGAATATTGGTTCTTCATAATTGCCCACCCAAGTGGCCATCTCTGAAGCAGAGAAATGGAAGCCACGTAGCTGGTAAAGCAGTTGTGGAGACAGTCACAGGCACTCTAAAGCTCTAAGCACAGGTTTGATAGTGTATTTTCCTCGTTTAAAGACTTTTGTTGGTTACTTCAAGTACTGTTGCATAGCAAGGGTATAAGTCACACCTAATAGTTGACTTGGTATTTTCACAGCTATGATACCTGTTCTGTTTTCCTGAGTCTGTAAAATAGGGAGATGTGGCAGGTACTACTCCCCTGTCTCACTCTCCCTACAGGAGTCCCACAGAAGCAAGAGATGTTTTAAGTTTAAGAGTCAATGGCATTCATGCCACAATCAGGAGCCAGGCCTGGCATGCTCAGGGACATCTAGGGTCATCCATGAAGAGAGGGTCCAGCTGTAACCCCAGCAGTTCCCTCACCATCTGACTCAACTACCGGTGTTCTGTGTGAAATTCTTCTTGAAAAAAGACTACAACCAATCGCCAAGGACACACTTGAACATTCTCTGCATTACGGCATGCAACCAGCAGGAAGTCAAAGATACTAGGTTCCACCTGTCCTGATGGAGGAGCTGCTGGGTAGGGGGGATTGTAGGGGCAGTAATGAATTCTCAGAATGAGAGATCTCTCTAGAAAGCACGGTTCATAAGCCAGGAACAAGCCACAAGGTTCTAAGTGAAAACAGAGCCAAATCATACATGCCCATAAGAATGGCTAAGATAGGACTGGAGAGATGGCTCAGCGGTTAAGAGCATTGCCTGCTCTTCCAAAGGTCCTGAGTTCAATTCCCAGCAACCACATGGTGGCTCACAACCATCTGTAATGAGGTCTGGTGCCCTCTTCTGGCCTTCAGGCATACACGCAAAAAGAATATTGTATACATTATTAATAAATAAATAAATACTTTAAAAAAAAAGAGTGGCTAAGATAAAAATAGACCTGGCCAAGCGTTAGCAGAGTCACCAGATAGCTCACTGCTGGTGCTGGGATTGTGAAATGGTACAGTCACTTGGAAAAGTTCGACAGTTTCTTGTGACATTCAAACATGTAATTCACATGCAACCCATGATTCCACTCCTAAATATCCACCCAAGAGAAGAGAAGCCATTTGTTAATCAAACAACAACAAAATTATACAGAAATGTTTACAACAGCTATGTGCAGCCATCACAAACTGGGCACACTCTTACAACCACAGAATCTAGGTTTGACTCTATGTGGAGAGATGGGGGCACTTGGGACATCGGTGAGCCAGTGAGGGGTGGAGGAAGGTAGCAAGAGGTAAATACAAGCAAGGGACAATAATGTATACATATGAAAATGTCATAACGAAATCCATTATTT